ATATATATATATACACAAAACTACAAATTCATGCATTTCCTTTAAGATCAAAACAGCACAGCTTCCCCAATGGTGACATGTTTTAACTCTGGAAGGTCTTGTTCACTGAGGTCTCTGATTCGAATCCATGTTCAGCCAGGATGCTATCTGCATGGAGCCTGTGTGCAAGGGTTTCCTCCAGGTTCCCCAGTATTCTCCTGCACTCCAAAAACGCTGGTAGGCTAATTGGCTCTTGTCTCAAGTGTGTTTGTGAGATAGGGGCCTGAGGGCTAGTTCACACCAGCCCCAGTGCATTCCGGCTCAATTTTTGCCAGAACGCACTGGATCGCATTTCGGCCGGCTCACTTTGTTTTAGGGCGGGAGGGGGCGTGGCGGTGCATTGAAGTCAATGGCACCGCAGCCACGCCCTCCGGCCACAGTGCGATCACTCGCACTGTTACGCGTGGCACATCAATGCCTGCGTTCCAGTCCAATCAGAAAAAATTGTGCATGCAGCTTTTTTTCTGCCACGCCCCCTCCCGCCCCAAAACAAAGTGAGTTGGCCGGAATACGATCCAGTGCGTTCCAGACAGAATTGGGCCGGAACACACTGGGGCTGGTGTGAATTAGCCCTTAGACTGCAAGTTCCCAGGGTGCAGGGACTCATGTCAATGAATAGTATGTAAAGCGCTGTGTAAATTGACACTATTTAAATACCTGTAAGAAAGAAACCAACAAAGTGTGAACGAGACACTGCAAGCTCAAATCTTGTTACCACTGGGAAAGCTCTGCTGTGTTGACGTTAATGGACAAAATACATTTGACGTTTTAGGGCTTATTCACACCATGTCCGGACCATGGCCAGACCAGAACAGTTTTTTCCCCGGATCAAAAAAGCATTCTCATGTATCCCTATGGTATTTCTGGGCTCTGTTCACACCAACGCAGTCCGTTCTGGTCCAGACAAAAAAAATACTGCTTGTCTCATTTTCTCTGCTCTGGAACGCATGCAAACACACTGGACTGCACCTGAAAGCCAATTTTAACCTTAAAAAAAACAACGCACTGGAACATGGCAAAATCGCCGCAAAAATGCACTGCACTGAGTTTGCAGATCTGCTCCAGACATGGCGTGAACAAGCCCTTAAAGTATTTGCTGGGATGTTCTTTGGGAGTAACTACTGTGGACAGGGAACACTAAACATGCATTTCTTGGATTCAGGTGGCCAAATCTGCATCAGAAGGTGTAAACTTTTTTTATTGTTGCTCAGTGAAGATTTATTCTATCTGACTATTCTAACAATAACATTAAGGCAAAAATTTTTTTACCTAGGTGCAATAGCTCCTCATCAAGCAAACACACAGAGTTTGATGCACTGCTCATTTGAGCTAGAGTCTGATCTACTGGACTGGATCGAATGTGGGAGTGTGGAGGTATAATTGGAGGAGGAGGAAGAATGGGAATCAGTGCTGGAAAAGCCTGTTCTGCTGTAGGGGGTGGCTCTGAATCCACAGCTGGAGTGGAAGACTCAAACCCTCCTAGATCAATGAGTGTTGGAAGGTTTTTGCTGGACTCCATCCCTGCTAGATACAAAAATTAAATGATCAGCATGGATAATTGAAAGGCGTGCTTTAATATGCAACTGTGCATGTTGAAAAGCCCAGAATCGGCGTCAGCGACCTTTACTGTGCGCTGTCTCTGAAAGCTCCGGTTCCCCATTGATGTCTTGCCCTTCAACAATCTTCTTGAACAGACTGATAGCACGTGATAAATTGTCACTAGTTTGGAGAATGTCCCCTGTGTGAGAGAACAGAATTTCCATGAATATACTTATCATTTAGTGTAGACAATGTACCATTAATATTATAAATCAGCAATATAATAAATATACCCTACATGTACATTCTTTCAAAATGTATACCAGGAACGTGTATGCTTTATAAGGGTAGTTTCTCACCTAAACTAGTATCATTATCTTCAGTGTCACTAGCCATTTTAAACAAAGTGAGTCTCTTTGCTTCACATCTCTCAAACAGCTCCTAAAAAAAAAGGAAGAAAGTGAAAGATGTTTGTGTGACAAAACAGTATGGCTACCATATTCATTTTTTGGAAGTTCACAAAATAAAGAAATGCCTCCTAGAGTGATGCATAACTACATACTATACTTCAGCAATAAAAGTAAATTGTACTAGCAATTATTTATAGTCATAATCCAAAACAAGGGTTCTTGTTTTACATATGTGTATCAAATACCAGTTTAAACATCCACCATATACCAGATTGGCCATTTTGTTCAATTTTCATAGCCTGGCTTGAAATAATTCTAGACCAGAACAGTAATTCTAGAGGGTACTCTGGTTTCCTCCTACACTCCAAAGACATGCTGGAAGGTTAATTGGCCTAGTTCAGGGGTCAGCAACCTGCGGCTCCGGAGCCGCATGTGGCTCTTTCATCCCCCTGCTGCGGCTCCCTGTCCAGGGCAGATTGGCATCGCAAAGCGTATGTGCAGAACTGATCTACCCTGGAACAGCTGTTGGTCCTGAAATGTCACTTCTATCCGACTTTGTGAGTGGGGTGGAATGTGAGATCACACTCACAGAGTCAGATAGAAGTGACATTTCAGGACCGAACAGTTGTTCCAGGGCAGATCAATTCTCCTGCACATATGATTTGCGATGCCAATCTGCCCTGGAACAGCTGGCACAGCGTTGAAATGCTTGAGCAATTGGTGGTCACACATTCCACCGCCAAAAAACTGGGCGTGATTACATTGAAATGTGTGACCACGTCACCGCCACAGATTGTAACGTAGTCACAAACTTTGATAGAACACCGCCATCAGGGGGGTACGGCCGGTACCCATGTGAGCAGTCTGGGCAGCCTCTTACATGAGTATCAGCTGTACCACGGGCGGCATGGCAGAGGTGACGGGAGGGGGTGGAGGAGGCCAGGCCACAGCAGCAGCAACAAGTAAGAGGAGTTGGGAGAAGGTACAGAGAAAGGTACCCCGGCGACCAGCTCACCTGAGGCCCTGCAGAGCCCACCATAGAGAGTCTCAGATGGGCTGCGCAGGATCTATGGTGTGCTCTGCAGGGTCACTCTCAGGTGGGCTCTGCGGGGTCTCAGGTAAGCCCAGAGTCCAGTGCGTTACTAAGCCCTGAGTCCAGTGCGTTACTAAGCCCTGAGTCCAGTGCGTTACTAAGCCCTGAGTCCAGTGCGTTACTAAGCCCTGAGTCCAGTGCGTTACTAAGCCCTGAGTCCAGTGCGTTACTAAGCCCTGAGTCCAGTGCGTTACTAAGCCCACATATACCTATATACATGCTATACATAGCATAAAGGTAAAAAATGATATATGCAGTGCTATCTTCATTTTAGATGTCAAAAGGGTTTTGTGACTCCTGGTGTTTTCTTTTCTGTGGGAAACGGGTCCAAATGGCTCTTTGAGTGTTTAAGGTTGCTGACCCCTGATCTAGTGTGTTTATGAATGTGAGATAGGAACCTTAGATTGTAAGCTCCTCGAGGGCAGGGACTGATGTGAATGTGCAGTATGTAAGCACTGCATAAATTGTTAGCGCTATATAAATACCTGTACTAATAATAAGTACATTGGGGATTTTGGAGCATAAGATGTTTTCATTCACACACACATACAGATTGACGGATTCCAGTCAGAAGATCCTTGGAGTGCGGCACCTTTTTGTGTCGGTATTACTACAGGTGAAAGCGCACCTTATCCTGCCCCGAGAGACCTTCATTGTGGGAATCCATCGGCAGAATTGGAGCAGTGAGTGCTTAAAGAGTGTTATTGATACTGGCTAATGTGTAACGTTATCCCATAAATAGCAATCATTTTAGAATTCAGTCCTTACATACATTAAGAACCCTCTCAATATGTGTGACAGTACTGTAACACCAGAATTTATCCAGACTATCTAGGACCATCACCTATTCCAACCTAGCTATTATAATCACCCTCCAGGCAATATCTTACTTTAATAAGTTCCTTGTCGCCCTCTGATGATTCTTCTTTACTGTAGTGTGTCAACATCTCTTGAAGCAGCTTCACATTGTTATTCACTTCCTCTAGAGTGTGAACACGCTTACTCACCTTCTGCATTCTCACCTCATCCTGCAAAGTGCACAACAATTAGTTATCAGAAAAAGAGTTCCATAGAGAAAGAATAGACACATCGATGAAGAGGCATGCAGTGGACTTCCTGATCAAAATACGGCTACTTATGTAGTCATCTGGCATGAAAGAAACATCTCAGAAACCAAAATATTAATGTGTAAGGACATTTATCTTCTCGGCAAAACAGCTTCACACAATCCCATTAGATAAGGTAGGTGTATCAAGGCTGCCCATGACCATTTTTAATCAAGCAATGCAAGTGAAACACGAGTACTCACTGGTATTGTAAATATGCATTATTGCAGAAACATTACTATATGTTAGATAATCTATGCTGCAGATAAGAGACCTCCATTGGAAAGGAAATAAGCCCTTCTATATACAGGCACCACTATCAAATCTCAGCCAAGTTGGGAACAAAATTATGAAACATTTGGCAGATATCTCGTCATGCCAAGGTCAGATCAAATTCATTATTTCATAACATTAAGTCATAAAAAAAACAGTGTTCGGAGGCATCCAATAATTATATTACTTTCATCTTCAGTTACGGCCTTCAAAGAATCCACTGCAATAAATAATTTTATACTATACAAAGTTCATTGTGGGAGAGTGTTTTTCAAAAGCCCCCCTTTCCAGGTTTTGCATACCTGGCAAGGGTTTTAATGATCTTAGGATCTTGTTTATAGTCAATACTGAGGAAATTGTTGAGTGGTGGAAGAAGCAGGAACCTTAAAAAATGTTTCCAATACAAATGGAAACCTCTTATCTTCTAATAATGTGATGTCCTGGCTTTTACAGTCTCAGCGTAAACAACAGCAAGAAGGTAGCATCTCATAGGGCTCTTTTTAGAAACTCTTTTACACATGTTATACCCAGTAGTTGAACAGTTTGCAATGAGATAGATTTGGGAAAATGTGTGAATCCTGGGTGAAATGTGTGTTCAACATTCATAAATAAACCCTATAGAGATACAACCAACCAGGGGGGCTCCTGTTTTTCGAAAACTCCTACTCATCCACTGAGCAAGTTTGAAAAGTGCAACATAAAAAAGAAAGATTTGAAGAACGGCCCACAGACAATATAATTGTGGCGATAAATGCTGTACCGCATACCAATAACAAATTCCTTTGATGTAACACATGATTCTTGAGGCGTTTATGCATGCTATATAATCGTGTGGTCTATCAGTAGGTGTTCACTAACCTCTTTTACCATGGATTTAATTAACTTGTTGGCTTCCTGCAGGTCATCTGGATTCTTACTTTTCAACAATCTAGCCAACAACTGAAATAGCAAAATAACCATACTGTGTTAGGAAAATCATAAAATTAAAAAAAAAGTGACACAGTGGGGTCTATTTATAAACAATTTGCAGAGCCATTCACCTAGTGAATCTCTGTGAATGTTCATTCTGTGTGAATAGAGGCAAAAACAAACATTCTTAATGTATTTTCTTTTCAGGTCGAATGTAATACCACATTAAAACCACTAGATGGATAAGTCTTTATTTCATGTGCTTCTCAGCTCCATCTAGTGACCATAATGCGGTATTACATTACATTCTACCTGGAAAAAAAATATAAAAAGAACCTTCGTTTTTGCCTCTACTCGCTTAAAACTAACGTTCACAGAGATTTGCAGGGTGAATGGCTATGCAAATTGTTTATAAATGGATTACAAAGACTTTGTATTACCTTAGATCTCTCCTCATCATCAAAAATTGGATTTTTAGGGCGAATTGGAGGTGACGGAATCAGAGTGTGATCCACTGGAATTATTGGGTCTGAGAGAACAATTCCTGGCATAGGGAACCAAAGGGAAAACACAGTTGAAATACCGACAAATATAGTATAAACAACAGTTTGAAGCTTTCAGCTAAATGCAAAGTGATTATTAATTGCGTTATTCATTTATTTTTACTAATGTGCAGTTTAATCTGCGTGTATTCGGGGCATAATCTTTATCAGTTCAGCTCTCACACCTCTATGACCCTATTTTCAAATTTGTGTTATGGGCCTATGGATTCACTCAGACGTGGATAAATTAAAGGAGAACTATGAGGTGATTTCCACTCATCCTCATAGTTAGAGCCGACCTGTGACAAAGAAGCTGTCACAGGTCACCTCTATCGATCGGGAAGTGAGCAGAAACATGTCGCCGATCCGCTCACTTCTCGATCATCTCCCTGCAGTAAGGGGTGACTGTCAGTCACGGCTCCCCGCAGGGATTTCCCCCTCGCCTCTCCGATCCTCTAGCGCTGAGTGGATGAACGGACGGGGGAGGGAACGGGCACAGCTGGCTCTACCTCTAGATAGGCAGAGCCAGCTGTCACTCACACAGCTGGGTAGATCCAGACAGTATTGTCAGGATCCGTCCCGGCTGAGACGCTCTCAGTATTTTGCGGGCAATAGTCTGCTATATACTGAGCTTTGGGTCATGGGAGGGGGTTAGTATATGTCCTCCCATGACCCTAAAGATAACTATGGGGAAAAACACTTACCCCATAGTTCTCTTTTAAGATGGAATTCAGAGCCAATCTGTCCAATCCTAGAGCCAGCTCCATTGACAACTAGAGATAACCCCCCAAAAAAATTAGGCACCAGTGGTAATTTTTAAGAAGCACTGACTATCCTTTCTCCTGGAATTTGTCTAGCCCTGGATTCAACAATAACTTTGTACGGTAATAGCTGAACCCAATAATGAAGAATGAAAAACAGACCTTAACGCCTGTACTAAGTTTGGCAACTCTGACATGTATTAGTAAAACTGTAATATCTTTGCATCTACTTTACAGGATAAACCCTTAGTAGTATATAGTAAGGAACCTCTTCTTAGAAACACATTGGCTCCTGATGTGGTATAAAAACCAATCCCTGTGACCTTACATACCGTGTTTCCCCGAAAATAAGACACTGTCTTATATTTTTTTTGGCTCAAAAAAACACACTAGGTCTTATTTTCGGGGTAGGTCTTATTTTTTTTTTTAATGTACAACAATCCAAAGTTAATGCAAATCCAAATTAGATAATCCAAAATGGCCAAGTTAAGAATAGGGTGATCAGGGCAATCAGGGGAGCCGTACCTTTCCAATCGCTGGCCAGAATGAGCGAAACGCACTTTCACTATAGATTTCTCACAGGCGGGGTGCATTTGATATCACTCCGCCTGTGACAGGAGCCAGCGCTATAGATGAAGCATCGCCTTATGCGGCACTGCTCCCTCCGCTGCCGCCTCGCTTCCTCTAGCGCTGGCTTCATTGGCACCGCTGATTCTCTCCCGTGGCTCTTCAAGTTCCCCCTAATGCCACCACCGGCCCTGGGAATGGTCACAACTAGGTCTTATTTTCGGGGTAGGTCTTATATTTTAGCAATTCCCAAAAATAGTACTAGGTCTTATTTTCGGGGTAGGTTTTATTTTAGGGGAAACAGGGTAGTAAATAAGGTTGGAAAAGACACAAGTCCATCCAGTCCAATGTGTGTGTGTCAGATTAAGTTAACTATTTAAAAGTGTACATATCCCTGTATGTTGTGCTCATCAAGGAAGACATCTAGAGATTTTTTGAATTTGTCAACTCTTCCAGCTGTTACTGTTACCTGGAGAAGGGAGTTTCACATTTTTGTTGCTCTGACGGTAAAGAACCCTCTCCTTCATTTTACATTAAACCATGTGCTGCCAGGGACGTACTACGTACTACGTCTGTGGCAACAGGGCCTTGAAACCTGTCTCTCAGATGCTGTAGCAGCTGGGAGTCAGTTTACATTTCTCCAGACATCTCCTGGCTTTTGAGTTGAAGTGATTCAGGTGGCTATAAAACCATCCAAGCACTTGCACAAATCCCACATTTAGGTGGAGGAAGTTATCCACTTTGACCTCATAGTGTCAGTGAATCTATGGACTTTAATGGATTTTTAAACTGCAGATTTGTCTATGCAATATTTTTTTATTTTGTATATTAAGTGCCACTAAATCTTTATTTTCATTGTGGTTGTATATATCTTTACAGCAGGCTGCTTAACCATTCTATTTCTTATTTTTAGGAGTGCTAGGTTTTTGTTTTATCTTAACCCCTTCGTGACGGGAGACGTACACTGTACGTCCAGCCACAAAGGGACCAAATGACTTGTCACGTACACTGTACGTGACGAGTTATTTGCTTCTTTAGAGGGCTGTTAAACGCTGAGAATCAGCTTTTAACATTCATTAATGGATGCCCTTACTACAGAGGCATTCATTAATGAAAGGTTAACCTTTTTCAGACACCCGATACCTTAATATCGGGTGTCTGAGAGTCAAAGCAGAGGGACACACATATGCCGGCTTTTGCCGGCATTCTGACAGCTCGTATAGATCGAGAGAGATATCTCTCTCAAGCTATACTGGCTTTTATTTCTTTCATGAATAGATACATAATGTGTCTATTCCTATAATGTATCTATTCCTGGAAGAAGAATGTTTCAGTTTGCTGATCGTTGTTGCAACAATCAGAAAACCTATAGTGACAGCTGAATCCTGAACTGCTGCAGGATCAGTGTCACTAACTTATTATCGGCTGTTCTGAAGTTTGAAGCAGCCTGATAATCAAAATGTATTAATTTATCAAGCAGTAATAGTGAGATTAATTCACAATGACTGCCTGATATAATTAAATAAATAAAATTTGTCAGTATAAAAAAAGTGAAAAGTGTAAATAAATTAAAAAAAATAGTGAAAAGTGTAAAAAAAATAAAAATAAGGGACAAATAAATGAATGTATGTATTGCATTTTTTTTTAGCTGTGCTGGTTTTGTTAAAAAAAAATACTACAAATCAAAACTGGGAAAAAAGTGTTTTTTTTAAACGGTTTTTTTCTCTTTTTTTATATTTTATTTGTCCTAAGTGAGGCGTTAGACACACATATGTGATATAAATATGTAGCCCTATCTGTCCTCTAAAAAACAATATATAATATGTGTGGGTGCACTTTGTAAGAAAGTATATTACTGCTGTGGAAGAATCACACAGCAAAAATGTCAAAAGTGTGTCAGTCATTTACGAACAGAAACTAAAAACAAGCTCAGTCATGAAGGGGTTAATACAGTAAACTCCCAGCATCCACGGGGATCAGTAGATGCCGGATAACTGTATTATGGTTGCTTGAGGATTAATAGTAACTCTCAAGCAACCTCCACCAACCAGCTCCGCTCCTCTACTCAGTGGGCGGGTGCAATAGCCAGCCTGCTATTGGCTATTGCAATTTGAACTAGCCAATAGGGGGCTGGTTATTGCTCCCTATTGTCTACATTCTGCTGCAGACCGCGGAATCTAGCCACTGACCTGCTGCAAGATGTAAACAAAGAATTTTGTGAGTAACTTTATAAATGTAGCTGTTAACTAATTTTTTAGTGTCCCCATGTCTCAAGCAACCTCAAATTTTTTAGGACATATTATGTTTTCGATTTTTTTTACCAGTTGCATGAGAGTGCCGGTTGCTTGAATGGCGAATAATAGGGAGTTTACTGTATTTGTATATTTGGTCTCGATCAGTCAGATTGTTGAATGCAGGTCTGTCAGTGGCTGTTATAGGTTAGCAAGTGGAACACTATACCTTGTCTTTTCAGCATCTGGTAGGCATCCTTTATTTTGATTTCTTCAGGAAGAGCTATTGTCCAGCTATACAAGAGGCCCACCACTTTACTCTTCACTTTCTCTGACACTCTGTCTCCCAAGTACTAAAACAAGAAACACTCGGGTAACAACAATAAAATACATTTTTTGGAAAATAAAAATGTAAATATGTCACTGTTCAGAATAAATACAAAAGCCGTAAACTGGCGATCATAAAGTCACCGTCAATCAATAACCACACCATGACATTGTTTTTCAGACATGAGAGAAGAACGGAGAACTGCTCAGCCTGTTACAAATGCCGGGATATGTTTAAAGCAGTTTTTCTGGTTAACTGATGTCCAGTAACACTCAACCTGTAAGACAGAGGCCCTTATTGTGAATGCTGGGCATCCTGGGCACCACAGCACCCTTCATTCACATTGAAGTGTATTAAAGAAAAGAGTGGCGCTGGCATCATCACATCAGCTCTGTTCTCTGCATTATGTAGGATCTCCCACCGTTGTAAGAAGACTGAACAGGACCCAGCACTCCACGTGACTTTTCCGAAGGCTTCAGAAAAAAGATGTATGTTAAAAAATGAACTGTGAAATATATAGCAGGGAAGTACTCTGGGAGCATGATTGTATTTTTGAAAATACAAGTTCCAGGGCTGTCATATTATCTTGAGTTCACTACTTAGTGAGTCACTAAACAAGGTTTCTAAGCCTAGAGCTCAATAGGCAATGTTTAGCAGCTCAGTTGTTCTACTAAAATCTCTTGCAATAATCAGACACATGTAGCATACATTTGTTATTGATTCTGAATAATCATACAATGCTTCAAATGTTTGTGATTGATCACTATGACAAACTAGCATCTGATCAATCACTACTCTTAACAATACATTACTAGTAATAATAGACATGGACTGAGCTACTAAAAATCACCCTTGTACCACTAGGCTAAGGGGGAAGTTTTACCCTGGATAGGATGGAAAGCTTTGTGCAACCACTATTGTTTTCCCACTGATATCACAAAAAAACTGTAATACAATAATCCTCCCCCATCCTTCTCCATTGGCTAAACACAAATGTTCGCACAAATTCACCCATCTGTGCTTCTAGGCTTGGCAGTGGGCAAAGATGCATGAAGGCAGTGATATTGTGCCTATCTATGGCTAGCTTCAGTCACTTCTATTTCTGAGTTTACATTCTAGTCACTGACAGCTTCAGCCCCCACTAATGTTCAGGAACCAATCAGGTTGATCACTTTGTCAGCTATGCCATAGTGATTACATGTAAGCCTAAAATGGTAAAAGCTAAATCCCATTTTTTTAAATAAAATGCAGACAGGTAGGGTTTTTATGATAGAAGAGATCCAGAGATCTAATCACTGCTTTCTGTCTGTCAGTGTTTGTGTACAAAGACACTAAACCTGGAAGAGGAACAGGAGAAGAAAGCGATGGAAGGAAGCGTTGACATTTCAGAGCAGGGGTTCGTCTGCAAGGTAAGTCTGCCATAATGTGCTAATATGCCCTGCATACAAGCACATTATGGCAAACATTTCCTGAAGGCCAAATATTTTACTTTTATATTGGCAGTTTACTGAATTAGTTTTAGCCTGCAGAGCCCACTGCAGCCTGTGGATGGCAACATGACTCTGTTTAATACTGTAATTGTCATACAATTTACATTTTTAAAATAATGTTTTTGTTTTTTTTTGCATTTAAATAAACAGAACATGGGCTATTTAAACAATATACCAAACAAAATCCATGTTCTTTTAACTACCTCCCGGCCAGCCGCTGTGTATACACGGCCTGCCGGGAGCTTCTTGGATGTAACTGGGCGTGTATACACGTCCTGTTACATCCGCCCGCTCGGGGGCGCGGCGCGCGTAAAAATGGCCTGGCCAGGTAGGGGATCTAAACACCTGGTCTTCAAGCAGTTAAACATTAAAAAACAAACATAGTAATGGTAGAGCGGGTTTTATTGTACTCACCTTTGGAGACACAACTTTTATTAACTCATTCAAGAAGCGAAATTTCCCGACCTCACTATGGAATCTTCTCCCACAGTTCTTCATACATGCCTCCAGCACCTTAAGATAAACATTCTAATAAACATATCTGTGTACCAACATGTGCAGTACATAGGTTACCATACTTCTATTCTAAAACAAATTTGCCCAAGCTACATAACATCTGTGGCTGGGTTTGGCGAAGGCAGTGTCTGCCAGCAGCTCATTGCTTTTGGCAATGTTATCTATGCACCTTAAACATACTCCTTCATGGCAAAGTAATGGGTTCTCTTGTAAGAAAAACCCCCTACCCATTGATACTCACTTTCACTGTACTCCTTGCCACCTCATTCTTTTGTCGGAGCCAGGAGTCCACACCCTGTGTAAGTTCTGTGTGCAGTAGTGTTAGAGCTTTCACAGAGTTAACGTCTTCCTTCTCACATGACAGTGTTAAAGCTTGCTAATGGGCAGGCCAGGCCTGAGCGTGGCATCTTGGGAGGAGGTGAGTATCAGTGAATGGGGGTTTTTCTTAGAAAAGAACCTGTTGCTTTCCCCTGAATAGGTTAAGTGACATATTCTCTTTAAGGGAAACCTGTCATGATATAAAATGGGGGCTGTCATTCTTACCCTTTCCTTTTGAAAATGCCAGTTGTCTGGCTTTTATATTGATACTCTGGCTTTGAGGGCCCTGTCACACCATGTCCGGACCAGATCTGCGCGCATTTCTGCAAACGCGGTGCAGTGCGTTTGTGTGGAGGGGGGGGGGGTTAATGTCATTATGCAAATTAATATCTTCCTGCTCCATGTCATAGCTTCTGTTGCGTTCCAGTGCGGTGCGTTTGTGACGCGTTCCGGTGCAGGAAAAATGTGACACGCAGCATTTTTTTCCGCTGCACTGGAACGGACTAGACTGGTGTGAACAGAGCCCAAACATCACATACAAATGCATTGGGATGCATTTTTGGTGTGGAAGAAAAATATAACGTACCGCATATGATCCGGACATGGTGTGAATGGGCCCTGATACTTTGATATACTGGCCCAGTCTAGCATACCTCTCTCTTTGTTTCATAAGGCTCAGTCTTTGAACTCAAGCGTTTTCTTTTTCGGGTCCTGTTCACACCATATGCATCGCGGCTGGCTCAGTATTTTCTGGGGCCGGTCGCATTGCGGCCGGAGGGTGTGGCTACGGTGCCATTCACTTCAATGGCCCGCCACGCCCCCTCCAGCCCGGCAAAAAAAGTGAGCCAGCCGCAATGCGTGGCAGTGCGTTCCAGTCAGAATCGGAATGCACTGCTCATGGTGTGAACTAGATAAAACAGAGCTAACCTTCTTCCCACCTATCCTCAATAAATCTTCATGACATCTCTGTACACGAAATTATTGCTGGTATTCTCCCTATTCCAACCGTTTTATGCCTCTGGGTCACCCTGTGCTCAGACCTCTGCCTCATAAGTCATATTCAGAAGATCACTAAATCCTGCTACTGCCACTTGGGCGCTATCTCCAAAATATGTCCTTTTCTAATTTGAGAGACCACTAAACGCTGAGTCCAGGAAAACCATATGAATTTCGGTTTAAAAGAAACCTGTCATGGGAAAACAATATAGGCTGCTGCTAGTAATATCTTCTTGTGAAAATGCCAGTTGCCTGGGAGCCATGATAACTCAATTTCTTCAATAATTTTGAGTAACTGACCTGGGACAAGTATTCAGATAATGACTTCTAACATCATAACAGCCCGGCTGTGCCCAGCAATGCTGACCTTCATACATGACAGTTGTACTTTGATCTAATTCGAACAAATATTTCTTTATAGTTCTCAGTTTTTTTTCCATTCCATGCAATGTATATAGGTGACATGAAGAGGAATGTTTTTTTTCCTTAACAAAAGCAAAGTTGCACTTTAACACTTTCCCGCTGGCTGTGCGCATATATGCGGCAGCACGGACTCGGCCTTCATCCATGCTGTCATGTACACGCAAACTTTTGTGCTGAGGGCATGTGATCGAGCGGGAGCTCACCAACAGCTCCTGGTCTCAGAGTAAAGGTGGCCATACACTTTACAACCCTCGCAAGACTTTTGTCTTGCGAGGGTTGTAAAGTACTTGAAAAAATTTACAATCTGCCCATCTTGGACAGGCAGATCGTACTTGTGATCATCGCAAGCCCGCCGATGAATGCAATGATGAACGGGCAGTGTGCGCGTGCGGCAGTCATCTCTCGATCATGTTAAAAACCAGCCGAAAATCGTACGATTCTCGGATGGTTTTACAACATGCTCGAAATACAAAAGTTGTGCGACCGTACAGTAGAAACGGTCGCACGCCTTCCATACACTGCACGATTATCGTACGATCGCGGGATTTCCCGCGATTCTGGTACGAGAATCGTGCAGTTTATGGGCACCTTAACAATCAGGAGCCAGCTCCTGATCACCTGAACGCTGTGAGAGCCAATCACAGCACTTACTGGTAAGGGATGCCTCTCCTGCACCTCTCCTGTGTGAGGAGGATCTCTAGAAGAGAAGCCTTTAAAAAAATACATCTGTAAATAATTAAATACAAATAATAAAGATAAAATATTAGGGCTTGGTCTAGGTTAGTGTGTTTTAGGTAGAATAAAAAGGTTTTATATATATATATAGACTGTATATCTGTATGTTTCGGGTAAGATTAAAAAAACCAAAAACAAAATGAGAACTATTGTTTCTGAGCCCTAATATAGGTGCAAACAACAAATAATGGGCATGTATGTAGTATCCCCATGCACATCAGGAGAAGGAGAATTTAGTTTTTATAAACACAAGCAACATATAGCTGAATTAAAAAAAAATGTTTTTAATATTTAGGACCAGTTTTCCTTTGATAATAAAAAAAAAAGCAAAGGTTATATCCGTTAACATTTACCACCAAATGAAGGCCCAGTTAGTCCTAAATTTTTTTTATAATTTACCTGGATAGACTAACTAGTTGCAAAGATAGGTACAGTTTTATTAAATATGCAAAACTGAGTTCAGGGGTAAATAATTGTTTTACTTTCGTCATTAAGAGGTTAAATGAGAACTATGGGGTCAGTGCTTTTCCCCATAGTTCTCCTAAGGGTCACGGGAGGACACAAACTAGCGTCCTCCCGTGACCCAAAGCTCAGCTACAGCTCGCAGTATTCTGAGACCGCCGCAGCCGGGACAGATCCCGACATTACTGTCTGGATCTACCCAGCTGCGTGATTGACAGCTGGCTCTGCCTATCTAGAGGCAGAGCCAGCTGTACCCGTCCCCTCCTCCGTCCGTTCCGCCAGTCTGCGCTGGAGGATCTCAGGAAGGGGGTCTAAACACCTGGTCTTGAAGTGGTTAAAGTATAAGTAAACCTTCGGGGGGAAAAATGAGCTTCTAAATAAACATGAAATCATGACTTCTTCTATGTTTGCGGCTTTCAGTGTGGTTATCAAACTTTTTTGTGTGCTTGTGGCTCTCAATGATGACACTGTTAATGGGGTTCTGGGCTTCATATGTGGGTATATGTCTTTGTAGAATGATATAGAAAGCCCAACATGAACCACATGTTAACAGCTCCATGGGAGGTTCTGATGCCAGGGCCAGTCTTAGCAATAAGAAAGCTAAAAATGTTGGTGCACTGTGCATCAGCATGTCAGATCCTAGGCTGACAACGCTCTGTCTCTATAATATAACAATAGAGGTAGCTTTGTCACCCTAGGACAGGAAGGGCTTATACTGGCAGGATCACCAGGTGAATTTAAGAAAAGCAAGCCTTAATTAAAAAGTCATGAGCCTCACATGATCTCATAGGGGGTAAGCTACCATGTCTCAATTTTTCATTTGAGGGTTTACATACTTTATAGGCCCATATGTATCACTTGATATTCTAGTGGACAAATGTGATGCTTAGAAACTACAGTCATGGCCAAAAATATTTGCACCCCTGCATTTCTGTCAGAATGTTTAGGCATTCTCATGTTTATTTCTTTTGTTTGTATTGGTATGACACAAAAAAGTGGATAAAAAAACAAAATCTGATACATTCCACGCAAAATCCCAAAATGGACTGGACAAAATTATTGGCACCCTCAATTAATATTTGGTAGCACAGCCCTTGGAAGAAAATAACTGAAATCAATCGCTACCTGTAACCATCAATTAGTTTCTTACACCTCTCTACAGGAATTTCGGACCACTCTTCTTTCGTCAACTGCTCCAGGTCTCTCAGATTGGAAGGTTCCTTTTCCCAACTGCTGTTTTGAGATCTCTCCACAGGTGCTCTATGGGATTTAGATCTGGACTCATTTCTTTGGGTCATTGTCCTGCTGTAAGACCCATGACCTCTGACAGAGACCCAACTTTCTGACAAGGGCCCTACATTGCACCCCAGAATTCTTTTGTAGTCTTCAGATTTCATAATGCCATGCACACAGTCAAGACATCCAGTGCCTGAAGTAGCAAAGCAACCCCAAAACATTAGTGAACCTCTACATGTTTGACTGCAGGGACTCTATTTTTTTTCTTTTAAAGACCTCATTTCTTTTTCTGAAAACCGTAGAATGATGGGCTTTACCAAAAAGCTGTCTTTTTGTTTCGTCCACAGCACATTCTCCCAAAAAGATTTTGGCTTCCTCGGGTTAGTTTTGGCAAACTCCAATCTGGCATTTTTACGTTTCCGTGTCAACAGTGGAGTCCTCCTGGGTCTCCTACCATAGCGTCCCTCTTCATTCAGATGGCGACATATAGTGCGAGCTGACACAGTTGTAACCTGTGCCTGAAGGTCAGCTTGAATTTGTCTGGAAGTTGATGGAGGGTCTTTATCCAACATTCCAACAATCCTTCGTTGCAGTCTTTGAGCAATTGTTCTCTTTCGTCCATGTCCAGGGAGATTAGCTACAGTGCCATGGGCTGTAAACTTCTTGGCAATGTTGCGCACAGTGAACACAAGAACATTAAGATATCTGGAGATGGACTTGTAACCTTAAGATTGTCCGTGCTTTTCCACAAAAACTTGGAATTCTATTATTTCTTGCAATTTGGAGAAGGTGCCAATAATTTTGCCCAGTCCATTTTTGGAGTTTTGCGTTGAATGTGTCAGATTTGGCTTTTTCTTTCTCCACCTTTTGTGTCATACCAATACAAACAAAAGAAATAAACATGAGAATGCCGAAACATTTGTAATGTGGTGCATTATGTGACAGAAATGCAGGGGTGCCAATATTTTTGGCCATGATGGCACTTCCTCATGTTAGATTTTTTTAAACAACCTTATCAGTCATCAACACAAGACAAATTCTTAATCAATATCGCCTCATGCAGTGCATACGAACTGTTGTTTGACTGACATAGACAACAAACACAGTACACAGAAAACAAAACTGTACTTACTGTAAGCGCTTGCAGAGCTTCCCATTCTTGTGGAGACTGAATTTTGTGGGCCAACAGTCTGACAGCAATCTGTGGCCTATTAATAGGAATTACTGGTCAAATGGTAGTCACAAATCCAGCAAAAATCATAAATATATTATAATGCTATCAGTACTATTAAACGCGGCAGTGTACAAACAATTGGATTTTATCCTTTTAATTGTATGACTATAGTAAAGGAAAAGCTGATTGGTTACTAAGAATTACTGTAGCGCTTACCGATGTTATCAAAACCTTGTTTCTCTATTGTCCATTAAGAGACACAGCTTGAGATTAAGCAACCTTAAGCAACCAGTTCTGGTCACCAGTACTAAGAAAAGATGTCCTTGAGTTGGAAAAAGTCCAGCGAAGGGCAACCAAACTAATTAGGGGTATGGAGGACCAGAGCTACGAGACGAGGCTACTAAATTTAAACATGTTCACATTAGAGGTGAGGAGATTAAGGGGGGATATGATTTCCATGTAAAAAATGTTTAATGGTGGTAGCAACATTAGCGATAAACTGTTTAAAATTAACTCCGTTACAAAAACTAGAGGCCATCACCTAAAATTGGTGGAAAAAAAATTCCAGCACAAGGGGCGAAGGGGGTTCTTCACAGTAAGATCAGTTAGGGTCTGGAACTCACTGCCACAGGCGGTGATTTCAGCAAATAATGTGGAATTGTTCAAGAAACTTTTGGACGATTTCTTAAGGGACCGTAATATACAGGGGTACGGGTACTCCTAGAATGAGATCCTAATAGGTTGGACTTGATGGACTAATGTCTTTATTCAACCTCAAATACTATGTAACTATGTAACCTAGGGTTATACTGCAGCCTACATGGAAAATGGACACTGGGCACATAGACAACTGAAGGCCAGCCCCTTTGTTGTGGCCATTACTTTGGCCAAAAGGATTTCTGAATTATTAGCATTGTCCTGTATGGATTTCCATTTGATCTTACATAAAGACAAGGTTCATTTGAGACCAAGGACTGTCTTTTTAGCCAAACTGGTGTCTGCTTTTCACCTTAATTAGAATATTGCTTTACACTCCCTGTGTACAGCACAGGTTCGTTCTGGATGTGGTGAGGGTCATCAGTTGGCGACTGTTTATTTTTCACAAAAGTTAGAGATTTTCTGGCTTCCAGACCAACTATTTTTAGGTGGATTCGAGAGGTTATTGTGCAGGCCTATAACTTGTGAGATAAAGTGCCTCCTTTTCCCATTAAAGCCCACTATACTAGGTCAGTGAGTCCTACTCAGGTTTGTGGTCATCAGATCTCTGTATCTCAGATCTGTAAGACTGCAACCTGGTCTTCTGTATACACGTCCTCAGAATTCCAGAAGGTCAATGTGTCAGCCTCTACAAACGCTAACGTTGGTGAAGAAAATATGCAAGTGGCTATTTAATGCCCTTATTTATCTTTTTTGTATTTCTTGTTTAGCTAGATTGCCTGTATTTGTTTTGGTGTGCCCGCACCCCAGTTTGGACTGCTTTTAGACATCCATAGGTTGCCTATCCCTCAAAAGACCATGGAGAATATTTGCACCAACAGTAAAATCCTTTTCTCTGAATTAACTGAGGAATACAATTTCCCCCCCTCATATGCTATTGTTCTGTCTTTGGATAGCTTGCTACAACTGAGCAGGTGTTAGCTGAGAGGGATTTAAGCATCTGATAGGCTGGCCTTCAGTTTCCTATGTGTCTGGTGTCCATTTCACCTGTAGGTGCAGTATAACCCTAGGTTGCTTAATCTCAGCCTGTGTCCCTCAATAGACGTTGAGAAAATAATTATGTTGTGAGTACAAAAGTCCTATTTTCTTTGTATGTTTTGCAAATATATGACTGCATGGCTGTAGTCAATTTTAACCATTAGATATGTAGTCTCTGCTTCCTGCTTATAAGTACTGCACTTCTCTGCTTCTCAACTCAATGTAAAGGTACCACAGACAGAGATAAACATCCCTGCACCATCTTGTTGCCCACTGTTAAGGAGAACAGTTTACTGCTAGGCTTAGAAAACCACTACTGCTCAACCACTAATAGCATGCCTCCTCCCCTCACATCCATAGCAGCTACCTGTAAGCTCAACTGAGCTAAGATTTTTGCTGCTGAGCCACCACTGTTTACCACGGTATATTACAAAGCACTTTGGAGCACACTGTTATTATTATTATACAGGATTTATACTGAACCAACAGTTATACAAATAAAGGGAGATTGTAGAGTTACAAAACAATTCAAGACAAGAGGGTTAGGAGGGCCCTGCAGGTGAAAGCTTCAATTTCAAAGGCAGGGTTACATGATACAAAATAAACACCAAGCAAGGAAAAATGAAAAAGTAATGTCATAGTTAATTTTACATAAGCATGTATGTTCTAAAAATACCATTATACCTCCCCTTGAACAGTGCAACAAATATAAATGTCTATCCCACCCCCACCACTAAAATGTTAAGCTGCTCCACAATTTCTTATGGATTTGACATGTCTAGATGATATGAACTAGCAAATAGTATTGTGATTGTTCTGTGAAGAAAAATATCTAACACTGCTCTTGTATACATTATTAGATTAATATCACTTCCAATTAAAAAAAACAGGATGGGTATCTTCTTTAAAAATCACCCCTGCATTCTAATTTTATTCCTGCAAAATCACACACATACCCCTCAAGCTCTTTATTTATTTGGTCACAGAAACTGATGATGTATTCCCAGTCCTCTTCACGATTACAAGGATTTGTGGCTTTATCTGAAAAAAGAGAGGACAATCAGCACTTCTCAGATCAATGAGGTTTCCCTCACTTGTATATTAATAAAGCTATAAGAAGACATGGAGTAAGTTCCACAGCAAATATAAAAAAAATTTCCACAGCTTCGGCTTGGATCCATCCCTGTCTACATCATAATATATGGCTACAAGTCACCTCTTCTCTGTGGTTCTGTTAGTTGTTCATCTAAAAATGATGTGACTTGTGAATGAAGCATAAGTGGCTTTGATATATAATGCTAGGTAGGCAAGTTTCTGAAGAGTAATGTTCACTGACAGCACAAGTTTGTCATGTCTCTAAACCATTCCAGGAAGTCCTGCCTATATAAATGTACATTCTAGAGGGATTACAAGTGTAAGGGAATAAGCAAACTGTGTTTTAAGTGACTGCCTGGCAAGATGGTAAAAACATTACTGGATCAACAAATAAAAAAATGATTTAGCTTAAAGTGACATTAACATCGAATTCCCCTCCCCCCGATGCTGGTGTAAGGACTTACCTTAAGGCCTCATTCACACTGCCCTACAATACGCTGCGCATATGCGCACAATGTTCCATATGCAGTATATGCAAATAAATGGCTTCATACTCATAGCTGCGTATATTTGCGTAGCGTAAAAACAGAATGGAACCAAGATGCGTCCGGGCAGCATATTTCACGCGCTCACACGCATATATGCGCATATACGCATGTACCGTTCATTAAAACTTCTATTACAAATGATGCATTCTGGGATTGCATATAGTGCACGCAAATACGCAATATAAAATGTTGCTCTTGCGTTGTGTGTGAATGAGGCCTAAATTATGCCTCTTGATCTGATCATCTTCTCATTTCCAGTAGTTTTTATGAGTCCCTCCAGTGCTGGTGCCGGTCTCTGATTCAGCGCTGACTGCTGTCTCCTATGTCCCACGTGTCCGTCTCTCCTCTTCTCCCGGCCGAAGATCCCTACTGCATATGCGCCCGCTCGAGAATCTTCAGATCTTTGAACAGGAGCACGTGGCTGAGACACATGTAAATGTGAACCTTTTTGGTAACTTTTTTTTTTTTTTATGTTTTTGCATTTATCTACTGCTTGCTAGCAGTAGATAAATGCAAATAGCTCCGAGGGTTTAGTTATCATTTGAAATGTGTTTCCACTTTTGCAGCCAAATTGGGATAACACTTATTTTATATTTATTACATATTCTCATTCACAGAGCATAATTTGATACCTTAAATAAAAATTGCTGACATATTACTTGCTCTTTTCTGAAAGAAAAGTCTTTTTCTCTAAACTGAATTGTCCTCTGGAAAGCAAGGGGGTTGTTAAAGTTAACGTTTACCATAATTAACCCTGTTCATTATTAGTTATAAATTAGATACAAAAACTATCTGTCCTAACAAAGGGTTAAAGATCCAAAAGTATTTTTTGTTAACAAGAGGATGTTCAGAGTGTCGCTAGCCTTTCCATGGGGACAGTTTCCTGTCATTTTGATATTTTACAGAGAAGCTTGCAGTCTTCCAAATAGGAACACATGACAAAGATATAGCGGGTGTTTCTCAAATTTGACTGCAAACTGGAAGTACAATTTAAATGACAGGCTTGTCTGAAGAGGTGAGGGTACCAAATGGCCTTTGAAATGGAATTTCATAGAAGGTAGGAGGCTGCAGAAAGGTTCTGGATGTAGGCAATATCTACTGCTGAGGTCCAATAAGTATTTATTCATTATTCTATTTACAATACAATTTGTAAGAGTTCCACTGTTACTTTCCTTCACTTTCTTCTCATTATAATGTCTATTTAAGACAAAAATAAAGGATAAAGAAAAATGAGCAATGAGATGAGAGGATCAAGTAAAGATGAGATTTAGAATAATTAACCACTTGATGACCAGGGTGTTACGCCCCCTTCCTGGCCAGGCCATTTTTCAGTATTCAGGGCTGCGGTACTTTGACTGACATTTATTCCGTCATGCAACGCTGTACTGAAATAAATTTTCTACCACTTTTTGGTGACACACAGAGCTTTCTTTTGGTGGTATATAATCACCATTTTTACTGTATAACTAAAAATTCACGAACATTTAGAAAAAAAAACATTTCCCTATGAAATGCTATGAAACATTTATTATCACCCGCAATTTTTTGGTAAAATATAAAAGACGGGCAACTCTATATAGTGCGGTCCTAACTCTAAATTATGAGAGTCTCCATCTTGGAGCACATGTGGCAAAAGATCAAATTGGGTGCAGGTTTGTCAGGAGGAAGTCCAACCTCCCTTAAAGGCACAGGTACGTCGGGTAAATAGACACCAAACATGTCAAGCCTTAAAATTGCGCATGCCAGCAAAATCGCAAAAAAACCCATACCCAAAATTGGCCATAATCGACGCTTTAAACGCTTTCACCGCTCATCAGTTTAGTGTTAACAGTGATTGATGACCTTAGAATTTTTGCTCTCACTGCGATGTTTGCAGCGATATGTAGCATGTGCAGCACAATGGGCGCAATCGTTTTCACACGTAGGTGCACCCGACGCATGTTTGTGTGTGTATGTTGGGGCGGGGGACTTTAAAAAATGTTTGCATTTTTTATAGGTGACTAATTTTTTTTTGTTTCTTTTATTTTTTTAAACATTTTTTTTTACACTTAACTTTATTGCTACCACATCACACATCTAAGAAGCCCCGTGTGATAGCCAATTTATGTGACAAGTCCTCTTTATGGAGACATCAGGGGTCTCCAACCCCCAGAGAAGCTGATGAAGCAGAGATCTGCTTCACCAGCTTCTCCCTGGCCGAGAATGACAGCTGAATGCAGAAGTGATGTAACAAACATCACTTCCTGCATTCGGAGACCGGAGAGGAGATCAGAGGGAGATTGTGTACTGAGCTCCCTTTTGATCTTCGGTGACAGAGCCGCTGTGCTGGTGACAGGACCGGCGGCGGCAGGCTGCACACCTACACAAAATACAAGCGATCAGGCATCTCTACAGATACCGGAACGCTTACAGGTGAAACTCGAATAATTAGAATATCGTGCAAAGTTCATTTATTTCCCTAATGCAACTTAAAAGGTGAAACTAGTATATGAGATAGACTCATCACATGCAAAGCAAGATAATTCAAGCCGTGATTTGTCATAATTGTGATGATTATGGCTTACAGCTCATGAAAACCCCAAGAACCCCAACTCCACAACCTCAAAAAAGTAGATTATTACATGCAATCAATAAAACAAGGATTGTACATAGAACAATATCGGACCTCTGAAAAGTACAAGCATGCATATGTACTCAGTACTTGGTTTGGGCCCCTTTTGCAGCACTTACTGCAATTACTTTTGCACAATATTCTAATTATTCGAGTTTCACCTGTATGTAAACAGCCATCGTCAGCTGTTTACATTTTATGTAGTGGGGGTGGGGAGGGATGTCTAAGGGCCCATTCACACCAGCCACTGTATGTTTTGGCCCGATTGGTGCCGGAACGCACTTGATTGCATTGCGGCCAGCTCACTTTGTGTTGGGGCAGGAGGGGGCGTGGCGGTGCATTGAACTGAATGGCACCGCAGCCAAGCCCTGCGGCCGCAGTGCGGTTGGCCGCACGGGAACGCGTGGCACATCAATGTCTGCGTTCCAGTCTGTTTCGGTCAGAAAAAATGCTGCAAGCACTGTGACTGTTGTGAACGGGCCCTAAAATGCCCACTCACATCTACAAGGCTCCCGTCCGGCCGTTTAGGTGCGGGAGGTGGTTAAAGAAAGAACGCCTTTGTTCAGTAAAGTGCAGGATAGAAAGGAAGCTAGAGTAAGGTTTTACACAGACCAACTGGTTTTCATAGTAACGTTACTTTTTAGTGTCAAACATGAAAAATACGTGCCAATGTTTTCAGATAAGCAGGACATAGCAGTGGGTGGCAGATGATTAAAAATTGTGGATACGAGAGAGAGAAGTATGATTCCATATAAATATATCTGTAAACAATAACCAAAATGAGAGTGTAAGAGTTGGTGAACATGGCTGTTTGAGACGCATTTACTAGGCCTTCACCCAAAGAGATTAATGCCAGTGTGCCCCCAGCCTTAAAGACAAAGTTAGGATTCAAGCTCTCTATCTGGATCTACTATTTGCTTCAAGATGTGGTTTTCACTAAATATACGCTTTGCCTATGCATTCTTCCATCTTATACAATAGTGTACATTGTCTAGGTTTGTGATGTCTTTTCTTTAGCTGATCTCAAAGGTCATAAATGTCTTAATAGAATCCAATTGTATATGTATTATACAGCGGTAGAACCATTCTTGATGCTAATTGCTAAAAACAGCAATGATATCATAGCATGGTTCAACAATTCAGAAAAAAAAGTGCATGTTATTAAGGAATCCAATGTTTCTCTTGTGATTTTAACACCAGATTTCCATAGTGTTTTTATTAAGGTAACAATAAACATTTACCAGCATTAGGATTACTTTAGCGTTTTTAGCGTTTTAGCGGAAATGCTAGTTATTGCACTGCTCTTGTAATATTACAGGAGTGTTACTAGAAAAAAAAGGGACATTTTATTTTAAAGATACCATTCTTGAAGCTGAATTCCAGGCAAGTGTTAAAGAGGAACTTTCACAGAGAAACCCAAAATAACAACAAAAGCACCTTTAGAAATGTTTAGTAGGGCTGCAACCAACTAATAATGGATAATGAGAATTGTTGTCAACTATTCTCATTATCGATTAGTTGATCTGGATCTCCTAGTTCTCTCCTCCACGCTTGAAGCCGGTGTTTCATCAGCTCTGTGTACCCTCCAATCCCCGTTGCTCCCAGCAAGGATCAGAGAGGACACAGACCCCTGAAGCCAGTGCCTAGCAGTGTGGAGAGCTCCTCCAAACCTCCACCTAACCCCCCACTTCCACCACTCTGCAGCTCTCTCCTCCCCATTGGGAGGCTGCTGCATGCTGCTTGTGAGCCCCACAAGTGATAGCAATGAAGTTAAGTAAAAAAAAAAG